AAATTTTTAATTTTCCTATAAAATTTCCCATAATGCATTTGTAAACTCATTTGTATTTTATTCTGTTACCGCGCATCTTCATTGCGCAGTGTGAATGGCGTCCGGTTGTTATTGTTCAAAGCGTATAAATTGTTTTAAAGAAAATTATGTGCTTTATACCAAATAACTTGTGTTTAAATGTTTGTTATTGCTTCGTGTGTGTTTAATTAATTGATCGTTAGTGTTTTGTAAAAGACCAGAAAGGTGTTATATGTGTGGAAAGTGTGTCACACAAAATGGGGTATGTAATGGTACTTGTATGTAACCAAATCAATTTCCTTAAATAAAGTGACATTCATGCATCGCAAACTAAGCTAGCATAAAATGATTTACATTCATCATTGCAATCATGTATCCAACATCTGATGAACACTCGTATTTACACTTCAATAAAGTTAATTTGACAATAAGACACATGGAAATATACACTCCCCCGTCTCGCTGACAAGATGGCTGCTATAAAACCATTTTCTTAGGAATAAAATTCCTCTATTAACAAGTAATAAATTAACTCTTTAAGGCATAATTTTAGCACCATTTGAGTTTTATTTTAATTCCATGTCCATTAGTTAACCGTTAAACCGAAATCCATACACGTCAGTAAGTCATACCCGCTGGCTATCGAAATTGTCGATGTCAGATAAGCTCAATTTTTGTTATATCTTAAAATCGTTTTCTTGTTGACAGTTATTCAAGTTGAGCCTTCTGTAAGTCACCCTTATTTTTCGGGATGTAACTAAAAGAAAAACATCTCAGTGAGTACTCCTGTACATAGACATCATGGAAGAGTAATTCTAGATGGCATTGGAAAGTGATGGCTTTAGTGTTACTACAGTCGTCACTTGCGAAGGGGATCTGTTAGATCCCTCGTTTCCTAAACAGCTTAGGTGTGTGCTAGGAAGATTAGAGAATCTTTTAGGGGGGCACTTATATGTTTGCAAACTGGAGCCGTGGAACTCTGTTCGTGTTACGCTGTCTATCCCTCGCGAGGCAGCCCTACGGCTGCGACAACTTGCCAGGGAAGGCTCACAGCAACTACGTGCCTTGGGCATTTTAAGTGTTCAAGTCGAGGGAGATCAAGTTATTTCCTTACGCCTAGCTGGACCCGATAGACAAGAAATTGTTCTGCAAACTGTTCAACAAGGTAAATGTTTTACTAAGATTTTGATTTTAGTAATTTATAATTGTCCACATTTATATTTACGTTAATTAGTTTTATGCAACAAGATTTTATTCATTCATTGTTTTATACTTTTATACTTCATTAAGTTACTCATCCCACAATGTAATAATTGTGTGTTTATTATATTTTAGTTTCCTAATTACATGTTTAGTTGAGTTTACAAGAATAAAGGTAACAATAAGGTTCTTATTTATTTTATAGATGAAGGTAGTAGCAGCAATACCAATGCAACTTCCGATGGGGGATTATCAAGATTACTGTCGGGAGAAGTTCAAGTGCCAACGAATTCTGTATCTTCGGACAAGATGCAGTTTCGTTCTCCCAACGTCGTGTGTCCACCGGATAGTGTAGTTCCTAAAGTGCCTACACCGGGGGCCATACAATCGACGTTGTCATCGTCCAGACTGCAGTCAGGACCTTTTCCTTTTACGAGCATGAATCAGGCGATTCAGAGCCGGGAGAACAGCTCACTAGGAGGAGGAGGGACAGGTGGAAACGTGAGCACGTCAACTTCTTTCACACCACCACCACCTTATCCTGGTAAACATCCACCGGTGACGTTGTCGAGTCCGTTGCTTGTCAATTTGCTTCAAAATGACGGAACTTCTGCGACCACGACGACGACGACAAAATCAGATGTAGAAGGATCGGGTAAAATTCAAGCAAACGGTTCTATGTTGCACCCGAACGTCTCAAAAAGCCTTACTCAAATTTCCACTGTAAAAAGTCATCCGCCTCCACCATCACCTTCATCATCATTCGCGCCGAAAACGATCCCGAGCGTTCCTGCACGAACAACAGGCGTCTATTCTGCGTCAGCTGTGACCGTTCAAAATCATATTCCACCACCACCGCCTCCCCTTCATCCAAAGATCGTACATTCACAACCGACCGTTACCGTAAACAGTAGTCTCAATACGGACACCTGTTACAAACAACTAGTTCATCATCAGCGAATCAATAGTAATAGTGTTAGTGCTTCATCAAACAATGCAAAAGTGCCCGCGCTTGTCTCGAACAGTGCCGTCGTTCAACAACAACAAACAACTAATAATTCGTTACCGGATCGACAGTGTTCGACGATGATTGCGAAACCTAGTGCCGTTCTCCAAAACTCAGGTGAACTGGAACTGTCCAGTCAATCGATAGTTGCTAACAAAATGCCACAACACACTGCACTCACTTCAAACAATAATAGTAGTAGTAGTGTCTCATTAATTCAACAGTCATCCTCGATCCTTGACGATGCAAAAAGCATTGCGTTTCGATCGTGTTCGCCAAGTTTGATGGACGATTTGACTCCAACGTTAACGGATTTGAAGGAATCCGATTTGGACCAGTTGTTACCAACTCTTGAACACGACATTGCAAGTAGTCCACCAGAGCTGCCTGAGGTGTTCACCGACACCAAAGATCGTCGTAAGTTTCTAATCAATCCACTGACGGGGGAGCTCGAATTGCAATCCAGCAGCGACGAGAGTGAATGTGATCCAGATGAGCAGATAAAAAATGTGTTCACGGACCTGCCTTCACCTGCAGCGTCTGTTTCCGACGATGACATTGGTTCCTTATCGAACCCATCAACCACGACAATGATGGTAACTACAGCGTCGAATCGATTGCCGTTGGATGCAACCACTGGAACTGCGTTGGATCATACCGGTAGCGACACGACAACATCGGCGAAAAGTTCGAAACTAAAAAGTACAAAAGGGAGGCCAGAACGTTGCATTGGCGGTCGTGATTCTCCCAAATTGAAACCGACTGAGAAAATCAAATTACGGTTGAAATTGGAAAAATCGGAACCAGTGAGCAGTGGGTACAAGGTCGATGTGAGTTTTATCAACACACCCCCGAAGAAAGCAACAACTTCAAACGTGATAGCTACAGGTGAAGAATTGCGTGTACCTCCACTTCACATTTCACTAAGAGGTCGCAATCATGTTGTAATTAACAATAAAAAAAAGGTTCGTATATTTTGATGTACTATTCAACTATATCAACAAAAATTACTTAGCTCAAATATAGTTAGTATGACTAGTTCTATAAAAACATGAAATTTTAAAAACCAGTAAAAAAAATTAAGAAATCAAAATGTACAGTTTGATATCTTGACTACTTATACTGTTTTAAATATAATTCCATCCTTAAGTTTTAAAAAAATCTCTTATATGAATAAATAATAGTACGGTTCTACAGAAGAGAATTTATTTATTTATTGAGATAATTATATTATTTTCAGGTAAAAACAAATGCAGATGGTAACTTGAACAAACCGAAAGTTCGGAAAGCTCAAATCGAGTTTAAGCCCAGAAAAGTGGGAGAATCGGACATGGAATCGGACGATCGCTCTTTATCGCCTTTAAACAAAACTAATAGCAGTGGCGATTTTGCAAACACCAGTAATATACCGCCCGACCACACCAAAACCAGTGCCTTGGATTCGAGAAAAATCAGGAAGATAAAATCTGTACAAGAACACCGTGAACAAAACTTGCTTACGGGCGGTCACTTAGTCGATCGAAGTAAAGAGTACGAACACCAAGTGGTTTACAATACCCATTTCAAAGAGAAATTGAAAGAAAGACGAGGTAGCGATTCGGAATTGGCCCACAGCGCAAAACGGTTACTGGACAACAACGGATTAATTTCGGTTGATAAGAAGAGGAGGCTCAGCCAGACAGACCACTTCGATGAATCTCATCAGTCATTAGTCGTGGGTTCGACCAACATTGGTACAGTATCAACACTCAGTCCAAAACCAAAAAAAGAGAAATTGAAAGCAAAAGATGGAAACAGCAAAGGTAAAGAGATTGATCGAAGTAAAAGTTATGCGAAAAATGTAGCTGATAAACTTGCAAGCAAACAAGTCGCCCTTCCGACCGGTGAAATTGACATGGAAGCCAAATTCAAACAGCGACTACTCGAAAACACTACGACATCAGATAAAGTACATAATAATAACAGGTCGTACAGAACTACTGAAAATAGTAACCTACAGAAGACGGACGATGAGACAGAGAATCTGGTGCCGATATTACCTAACCCGATTCCGCACAAAGATAAACCTCCTGAAATAATAGATCAAAAGGCGGATTTGACAGAGAAACAAGCCAGTCGGTCGCCAACTTCGGGTGGCCAGGGTGAAGATAGCGGCATTGAAAGCATGGACGCTTTGAGCGAGAAATCGCCAAACCAGGCCGGACAAAGTCCGCACGGTGAAAACAAAAATCAAGTGCCTGACATTCTGACTGATATTGAGGCGCAGTTAGCCAAAATGGAGGGACTCAACGGTGAGGAAGATATGAACGAAAACAAACAGGACGGCACTACAAAACTAGAACAATGTTGCGGTCTTACACCGTCGTCGGTCTCAGTAGTTCCAGAGCAACAGAGTAAAGAAACGCCTGGGACGGGCGTAGACCTTATACCTGATGGGAAAGACGACGATTTGGACCCTTTACCAGTTCGTGTAACACCGCCCTTATACACGTATTCGAACGCCGAAAAATCGGTAACGGTACGAAACGACGCTGAGAGTCCTACGTTCGATTCGGACAGCAACTCGTGTCCGGTCGCTTTAAAGAGTAAAAGTCTTCTCGAACAACTCCTGATAGATATTCCAGACAGTCAGACGCCCAGTTCGCCCAGCCCCGTGACACGATCGCTGCGAACGCGAGCCTGTTCGAAACTGAACAGTCCTGAACTACTAAATTCGCCTCCCGTGTCACGTGACAACCAAAAATTGAAGAACGTCGTCGCGTCGGTTCCAGTGGCGACGGCAGCGACGCCGGCCGTCGCCAAACGAAAGAGACATGAGTCGGAAAATTCGATCAACGCCGATGACGCGTCTGTTCGCAGCAACAGCAAAAAGACGCGTAAATGTTCAGAGAACGCTACGGAACTCATCAAAGCTTGTATGGGGGTCGAGACGCCGACAAAGTCAACGATTCCAGTTGTGGTGGTTGGCAGGGAGAAGAAAATAACGACGACGATGACGACGACTACCACAACTGCCGGATCAGGTGGAGGAAACAGCGGTCGGTTGATAGCGGACGAAAGTTCGGACAGCGACGAACCTTTGATCGAGGTAGCAGGCAAGGTGCGGAAGAACAACAACATCGCCAGCAGTGGTGTAAGTGTCGGTATCACGCCTAAAACAAAAACGAAACTGGCAACGTCAATCCAAACGCCTGCAACTACAATTAATAAAACTGGGTCTATAAATACACGGCGTTCCGTTCGTGCTACGCCTGCGCTGAACACGCGAAGTAAGGGTGACAGGGTGCAGCCTGATGCCGAAGTTTTACGGCGAAAAACTAGGAGTTCAGGTAGGAAAAATTACTTTCATCAAAAAAGCCTTGATAATAATACAACTAGTTTTAATATTTATTAGTTTTTATTCTAAAAAATGTTAGAATTTTAATATTTCAAGCGTAGAATTGATAAAATGCAGTAAATGAAATAAGAAAAAGTATAGTAGTAGTTCTAGTTTATGGTAAAGCTTCAGACAATTTGTAATTCTGTAGTTTTACGCAGAACTAAATTATTTATGTGTATTACAATGGTAATGTGGTTTTATACATGGAAAAATCGTTTGTTATACAATGAGAAACAGGAGAAAAGAATAATTTCAGCATTTATTTTTTAATCAACAGTAACGGAGGGCGAAAGCAAAAGGCGGAAAGACGTGAAGTGACGATGCCTGGGAGGCTGCACTTGCTGCAGCCCTCTACCGCCTGCCCCCGGCCACGAGTTGCTGCAGCANCTAACAAAATGCCACAACACACGGGATATTAATAATTTTAAATAAAGAAAATATAGGCCTTGAAATAAAATGGGACAAAACATTACCTATTAACAAAGTAATCTTTTCTGACATTCACTTTGCAATTTAGACTTTCTCTTAATAAACTATTTAATGAATATCCAAAATACACAAGCACTGATGAAATAAAGTAAAGCCAACAGCTGATTACTTTTGTTTTTATGGTTTCTTGTCATAGACAACTTCTTGTCAAAAAAAATCAAAATGTCATAACACTAGACAGTTATTTTATAACATTGTTCTCGTCTTGTTCTTTTAGTCGCGTTTATATCCGGAACAGCGTTGTCAATCATTGACGAAGGAATTAAAACTGCGGGTGCAAAAAACCATTGTAAACATTGTAATTTTATATGTATAGTCTTTAAAACGACCACTATCCAATTACAATTCTTGGAACTCTAACTACTCATTAATTGAATTCGTTACTTCTATTATTAATATTTTATTATTTTTTATTTAAAATGTCATACTCAGGATTTATTCATAAGAAAAGCTATATATAATAATATTGTATTACTGTACTCTTGAAAAACGCTTAATAGTAAGTCGAAACAATATTGTGGTTTTCTAATATTTTAAAACCCTTAATATTATAATATGATATGGCAACATAGCAAAGAATTACGTTTTCATAATCATAACCTAATGTTAATCACAGTTTTAAATTCACATGTAATTGTACGTTATTTTTACGATCACTGGAACGCTGTTCGCATCACTGGAATAGCCAAACGAGTAACAAGCTAAGTTGCCAAAACTCAAATTTATAATAACATTTATTAATAAAAATGCTTATTAATAAAAATAATATACATTTTTAATCTGAATTATCACTCTAAAAAAATTAATATCTCTATATGTTTATGTATGTACAATGAAAAATAATGGTTTATCGTTATTATTTAAACTATTAATTTTGGGTATAAGTTAAAGCTTAATGTTTACAAATAATTAATTTTAAAAATCCTAACGGTCTATACCAATCTTTTTAAAAAAGTTTAAACAGTTTCCATTAATTTCATTTTTTCAAGAAACAAGAAAAGGCAT